TTTTTTAGTTAGTTAGTTAGTTTTTGGTCAACTTGTAAAACAGATCAAAAGCACTGGTGGTAAAGTCACTCTCATTACTCTGCAGAAAACACTGGTGAAAACACAGAAATACACAATTAAATCAAGAAGAAATGTAGAGATAATAAATTTTAAATATTTAAATGTGCAGAACTGTAAAAATGGAGTAACAGAATTTAACTTATGCTGATTTAGCTACTAGCGCTTAAATGTGTATCATTTGTATGCCTGTTTTGTGTCTGTTCATTTATTTATGGTCACATAGTTTTATTCTCTAAAACCTGCATACTTATTGCTAGCATTTGTTTTTAGATGCACATAGATGACTGTATTGCTCTTTAACTGTCTCAAGTAGACAACCAGCAGCCAGAGAGCTGTCCATATGGGCTCTGTGTGTCTATCCAGATAATCTTTGTTGGAGGATTAAGACCGGAGCAGGAAGACATTCAACACGACCTGCATTTGTCCAAAGAGGGTCCTTTAACCTTTCAGGTAATGTGTGTTTTTCTGCTTCATAGCCTAAACTAATAGAAATCCACTGTCAGTAGGCTACGGGCTAGCTGCATATAATAGGTGAGCCTCACTGACCTCTGCTCTGACCTCAGTTGCTGCTAGCCCACAGTACTTTTGTAAACACGCTCTGGATTTCTCTCGAGGTTTGACTGTTATGCGAAATATAGAAAGCAGAAAAAAGTCAAACAACAGGCAATACTCGCTGTCCATTAAAGTTTATATCAATTTACTGTTGACATGGAAGAAAGTCCTCTGACATGATACTGTAACAGATGGTGCATTCAAGCGTAATTATATTGTCACGGGGCAGTTAATGGAGTAGAACATTATACTCCATACAAACAACATAATAGGTTTATAGCTGTCATATGGACCTTTTGCTTCCAAATGACTTTGGACATTATCTGATCATTTTTTTATTATTCTCATGAAGGCAGTAAATATAAAACAGTCTCTCAGTAGAAGTGATTTTACTGGAACTGTAATTTTGTTCGGTCAGTGTTTTGAATCCAGTACAGCACTGCAACCCATCTAAATTTTAACATGTATAATGGTCAGTTGAATTAAATCACACATCCTCCAACTTTTGTGGGCCATTTACAGCAAACAACTTCTGCCTATGTCATATCAGGTGTGGTGTTTTATTAATTTTCTATAAAAACACAAAGAAAAACATCACCTTAACAAAATGCTAAATTATTGTTCTAATTCCCTGCATATTCCGGTCTTACTGTTTTAATTATGAGGATTTAGATGCTTATCTCTGTGGAGGCTTCCTAGTTCTTTTCTTTTTTCTCTTTTTAGATTTTAATTTACAAAAAAATCTCAAATGAAAAGGGGAAATTTGTAAAATAAAACTTGAAGGAAATAGATTACATTATAATGCATATATTTGTTAATGGAAGGCCTATAAAGTGATATGGAAAAGCCCCATCATAGACACAAACACTGTGTAAACATAGATCTGAGTGAGAGTTGTAGCTGGCTGGCTTTATAATGTGAGAATTGAAGCCATTAAACCAGGGATGGGGAACTCCAGGCCTTAAATGCTGGTGTCCTTCAGGTTTTAGATCTCACCCTGGGTCAACACACCTGAATCAAATGATTAGTTCATTGGCAAGCCTCTGGAGAATTTAAAGACATGTTGAGGAGGTCATTTAGCCATTTAAATCAGCTGTGTTGGATCAAGGACACATCTAAAACCTGCAGGACACTGGCCCTTAAGGCCTGGAGTTCCCCCGCCCCTGCATTAAACAGTTATACTGAAATTTAGTCATTACTATAATGTTCTTATTGCTTGTTATTTAACAGTATATGCATTTTTTTTTTCAACAGGACAAATCTCCACTGCCGATCATAATGTCTTTATTGGATTTTCTTGGGCAGGGGAAGCTTTTGGGGGTCGGAGCTCTGCTGGTGTGGCTCGTCCTCTTCCACCTTCTTGTTAATGTTTGGCTCCTCTGCGTCTTCACCAGTCTCCTGGTAGTTCTCGGAGGTTGGCTTGGGTCACGGGCTCTGCTGGATGCCAACAGCGTTCTCCACCTGGAGCACTTCTTGCCTCTTGGCAACATTAACCCACCTCAGTATTCACCTGAGCACGAGTGGAGATTGAACCATGAGATCCACAGCGCTGTCCACAAAGCAGTGCGTGACTTTGTGTCCTCGTGGTATCGCACTCTGCTGCCCGAGGTGGAGGGCGAGTTTGAGCGTGCGGTGTGTAATTCGATGCTGGAGTCAGTGATGGAACTGAAGGAGCGTGCCCGGCGAGTGGACAGAAAAGCCATGGTTCAGCGGTTGTTGGAGGTGTACGGGGGTCACCTGCAGAACTACATGACAGTAAGACAGATACAGTCAACACAAAAGAGAAGCATGAGCCTCTGGCAGCTCTACAGTGAAGTAGACACCCCTCATCCAGCTGTGAGCAGCAAAGCTGCTGAGCTCAGCTACTCCAGAGCTCTAGTTCACCTTGTACTACACGTGCTGGTTCCATACCCACAGATGGAAACCAGGACAGGAGGTTACATGGTTACAGAACTTATTACCTGCAACGTGCTGCTACCGCTCATAAGCAGGATATCCGATCCTGACTGGCTCAACCAGACCATTGTAGACATACTTACCAGATGCAGAGAACCACACCAGGAAATCAACGTGGATGACCTCCCAGTAGATCCCCTATACAAATGTCAGATCGACCAGGAGTCCTGGGCCACCTGCATGTCACTGTCTTCTTCCGATCAAGCTGGTCTCGCCAGCAAAAGCTCCTCTGACCTTGATGACCTGAATGAGAGCCAGAGCACGATCCATGAGACGGAGTCCTCACTGAGCAGCATGGTTAGCTTGGCGTCAGCTGGGAAATGTCAAAGCTGCCGCCCAGGCCTGCTCACACCATACAAAGTGAACTGCTGTCCGCTCACATCTGTCCACCACTCCAACTCGTCAGAGTCCAAAATAATTTCACTGGACTCGCTAACTCAGTCTGACTCTGATGATGATCTAAAAGGAGGCTTTTGCGAGTGTGGTCCTTCAAACAACTTCTGCAGCATGCTCACTTCAAAAGATGATGAAGCCTATGGATGCTTCGGCCCTCTGAGAAATCTAGGACAGAAGGTGGTGGTGCCAGTGGACTCCCAGTGGCCTGCAGGCATAGCTGAAGAGAAATCTCCAGGTTGCCCTAGAAGAAAGCTTTGTTTACCCTCTTATAGCTTGGATTCCCCCAGCAATGCAGTGGCACCTGTGAACATCCAGAATGTCAGAATTGGTGGCACCGTCACCGCAAAAGAGCAGCGTGGCACCGGCACACATCCCTATATTCTTTACACTGTAAAGGTACAGTCATGCCACAGCCTGGTACAATGAAGCTGTCTTATCAAATTGGATTATTGATGATTGCATACTGCACCCCTCTTTCTGTTTAACAGTTTCAGACAGCGACCAGTGATGGCAGCGCCACTCCACAGCATGCGGCCTGTCACGCTGTCAATCGCAGATACAGCGAGTTCCTCAACTTGCAGACACGATTAGAGGAGAAGCCCGAAATGAAGAAATTAATCAAGAGTAAGACATCGTCCTCTGCTTTAAGACATCACCAAACCCTAGTAGTCCAAGAAGAGATGCCACGTTTATTTATTTATTGCATTTCAGATGTCAAGGGCCCAAAGAGGATTTTCCCTGATCTCTCATTCAGCAGTCCAGACGGTGAGAAGGTTGAAGTGCGTAAAAGCCAGCTGGATGCCTTCCTAAAAGTAAGCATTGGGATTATAACTTTTGCATTTGCAGGATTCTGACGTTTGGGTTTTTTGGTTTTTTTTGTTCTTGTGGTATAATTTTTATTGTTTTCTAGCAATTAAGCAGCATTCCTGAGATAGCCAACAACGAAGACATGCAGGAGTTCCTAGCTCTCAATTCAGGTGTCTGTACGTATTTTGGAAGAAAACCTTTTGCCAAGTCAAGAATTGATAAGGTAGGAACAAGCTAACAGAAAATTAAACTAATAAGTAGTTGCATTTTGTGAAATTTACTCCATTACTCCCCTGCAAGAGTTAAGTAAGTTTTATGCCTTGTTCTTGAGCATGGAGTTGGACCTTTTGTGAAAATGTGTAAAAAAATTCCACATTGTAATACTCAAGAACGCACAAAATAGAGAAGAATAAATACTCAAGAAGCTAATCATGTTCAGAATGAGACAAAAACTGGATGCTTTTTCTTTCTTTTTTCTACAACTTGAATTTAATTATCTCACATATATTTGATTGATTGAAAGATGATGGAAAATGCTTTGGACACTTTGAAGACAGCTTTCCCACATCCAGAACCCCTCAGCCCAACAGAGGACATTGATGGAGATCCTGATGGAAGAACAATGGACAACAGAAAATACAGGTAAGAGCTCTATCTGCCTGATACCAATCTTCACACACATTCAAATCTACTTTGCTTCCTTATTATCAATTCAGTGAGTTAATTCTCAGCTTCTTTTATGTTGGATTTAATTCACTTATTTTTGTAACCCGGGGTTTCCTGTCTTGTGTTCTGTGCTTCAGGAGGCTCTTCCCAAGCAAAATCTCCCCAGCCTTCAATATACCCAACATTCCTGATCTACATCCTAAAGTGACATACTGCTTCAGTGAAGGCAGCACTGTAAGTCATTATTCTTCATGAACTATCAACACAAACATGTTTCAGACTAATGTAGGAGAGCGTTGACATTTTCTTCAGAAATCATTTGCTTATTCTGATTTTCTAGGTCCTCAATGGCATGTCACTGTCCCACCTCGAGAATTTTGTTGGTGAGCAGGAAACACTGTTATGTGGACTGAATGGGAAAGAGAACAAGCAGAGGTGTGAGCAAGATGTGAAGAAGACTTCAGGGAAAACTCACGGCACAGGTTGAGTTTGTCTGAAGTAGATTTATCCACATTGGCAAGATGCACTGACACAGTTTTACCACATGGGTGCAGCAAAACCCAATGTCTGTGGTGGCTGTAGCTGAGCAGTAGACGATTTGCAGCAATAGGGCACAAACACATTTTGGAGACTTTTTGAATCCACATTTAGTAAGAATGTTTTTTTTGACTTGCAGTGAAAAATCTTGACCTCAGCATCTATTAATAGATATTTCTGATTAAAAACATTTTTTGGTTGATTGTTTATTAACAACACAAAGGTAACTCCATGTTTTTTGCCCACTACCACTAATGGTGTGTTCTGCCTTTACAAGTAGTCAAATATTTTTTTAATTCATTTGTGAAGATTCCATTCCTTGTGCTCAAATAAATGTATAATTAATGGGGGTTTGTGTGTGTGTGTGTGTGTGTGTGTGT